TTGGAATAGGATCACTCAAAAGAAGAACCTAGATATCTACATTAAAAAGTCAACGAACCGAAATACTTTTAGGTCATCTTTTATTAAAAAACGATTCTCAGACGCTCGATTAGCATTGGATAGCGTACAAGGAGCGAATATATCGCGTGTTTTGTAATTCGTTTAACGGATTTACAACCCACGTGGATAATATTTCACATCATTTAAAATTAACATATGCATAATCAGCAGTAGGATAACGGGTGAATGTTTCTCGATTTATTTCACATTTGCATTGTTCGTTCATGTTTGATTTTCATTGAACAAATCGAGAGAAGAGATTTTATCGATTTTGTCTGCGCTGCGGAAAATTCAAGAGCAAAATTCTAATATACAAGATGTTTGAAGTGGCTGGCTGCGTGAAGCAGGTTTCCACATTTTACTACCGACCAAGAATAGAAAGATTTATGAATCTCTAGACAAGTGCCTCAACTTGAGGAGAGAGAGAGAGAGAGAGAGAGAGAGAGAGAGAGAATACGTTGAAAAATGGTGTACACGAATGTGTATTTTTAAGACGCACAAATATGTCAGTAGAAATAAAAAAGTTACATGAGCTAGGAGCCTCAGCTTTCAGACTTGCCCTCGCAGACGATGATTGCTCGATTTCTTTAGATTTGATCAATTACCGCGGGGAATAAGAGCCAATGAAAGCGACTCGCGCCAAGACAATGGTTCACTGGGGACGATAAAGTAGTTTGCAATTTTCGAGCTGTGTGGGCCTGCGTCCAACTCTCTCTCTCTCTCTCTCTCTCTCTCTCTCTCTCTCTCTCTCTCTCTCTCGATCGCTCTGCTCGTTTCTCGTGCCTCGTCACAAATTGCACCGACGAACGATCAAACGACAAAGAGAGGTGATCTCGTTGAAGAATTAAAATCTCATCAGGCATCTCGGAAGAAACAAGTGTGTTTGTGTGAATAATTGCGAAGAAATGACAGGTTTAGAGATTAAGCAGCGACGGGTCACTTTGCGACGAGTTCTCAGCGATGATATAAATAATTACACTCAAATAGGACAGTAAAGGTGCTTCTCATTCGTGCCTCTTGAAAATTTCTCGCGAAAACGCGGACTTTGGAAGTAAAAATCGCGCGACAAAGATCCTGAAAGCTCTCTTTTCATTTCTCACGTCGGGGCTCATAAATCCGGCTTTAACAGCGCGCGTTTTGTCGCGAGCTTCATCCCGCGCGCCGCTTCGTCCGCGTGTACGCGCCTTTGCGCGTGATTTATCGTCACTGATGGCTTAATGAAATTTGCGACGTCGTGAAGCGGGAATCAAGCGAGGCGATGGTGTGGTGCGCGATTAGTGGACGAAAACGGCCTCGTATCATGGCGTTGGAACGCGTAAGCAAGGGAAGGCGCGCCATATGCGCGATCCGACGCTGATTACGTCGTAATTAATTACTGGGTATTAGGAGTCCAGTAAAACCCCTTTAACTATTGTTAATTGGGAAATAAAATGTCCCTCCACGCTACGCATTCTCTCCCCTCAATCACGACGGCAGTAAAAATATAATCGTCGCAATTGGCCCGCCGACGATCATCCTAATTTATGTCTATTTTATCATCCTTATTTATCTCTGTTCCATGCGTTGTTGTCGTCGTTGTGTGAAAAGTTTATTACGTTTCTACACGATCCTGGACCTTTGCCCGCGTATTAAAACTCGCACGATTTTCATGCATCCAATCTCCAAAATCCGAGAGAATATAAGCGATAATACAAGCGAGAGAGAGAGAGAGAGAGAGAGAGAGAGAGAGAGAGAGAGAGAGAGAGAGAGAGAGAGAGAGAGCAAAGTATGCATATACTGCCTTGATCGGCAGCGATTAAAGCTGACGTATGAATCCGCGTTGATTCATACAATTTGTAAATGTGGCACGCGGCTAATCGCCGCGGATTATTTAATTACGATGCGATACGTCGGCGATTAATTAATCAAGGAATAAATTGCGCGACTCGCTCGATAGCTCGGTCGTTGGAGCCATTATCGTCGCGGCAGCTCAGACGTGAACTCCGCGTTTCCCGACTCGGCGGCGGCAACAGTCGCGATGCATACCGGGCCGTCATTATAGGCCGCGGATCGGAAGTTCGTTACGACTGAGGTGAGAGGGTTTCACTATCGTTAAAGACTCCGTCAGAGAGTCTCGTTACTCGCGGGTTCTCACGCTGCGCGACGTAACGCGCACTCGCAGTCGCGTTGCGCGAGTCCTTTTGCGCACCGCGAGCGTTTTGTGGATTTCCAAACTCGTTCGTACGAACAAGTTTTAGCGACAATTAGCATACTTAATTAAGCGCGTCAGTCCCGCTAACTCGTCGTTTTGCACGTTATATGTGCCCGGTTGAACACCCGAAGCGACCTATACGAGGCCCTTTATGCACTCGCAGTAGCGTAACCATCGCTCGACCGCGAGAGAGAGAGAGAGAGAGAGAGAGAGAGAGAGAGAGAGAGGGAGAGAGAGAGAGAGAGAGAG